CTCTAGTTCCGACACTAAACAGCCATTTATATCATGATCATAATAATTCAATATATTCTGCAGAAAGTGTCTCAGATGTCTGTGGATTTACCACCCTTGAGTAATATCTGCAGTGAGAGTGACTGTTGAGCAGTGATATGAGTAAAGAGAAAGGAGGAACACAGACAAGACACATGCCATCTATCTTCATAGCCTGAGCAAATATCGAGAGCTATGATGTGAAAGCATCTTGCCTCGCTCTCCTCCTTCACTTCTGTGACAGATGTAAATTGATGCTTCACCAGTTGGCTCTAATGCATTTTTAAACAGGAACAGCAGCAGACAGCAAAAGAACGTGTCGCGACGGCATTACTATGACGGAGTCTCAATCTTCAGCTGCCTCCTCTTTACACGTGACACACAAAGCTATATATATGTACGCGCGCACACACACAGACACACACGCTGCTGAGAATGGCTATCATTCATCATCTTTCCCAGTACAATGGGCTCAGTAAAGGTCCCATCTTTCAAAAAAAGCACCTCCACAGTGCAGTGCCTAGCCCAGCACCGTGCCAGTGCATCACATCTCCTGTCATCTGCAAAAACCACTTCTGCTCAGTGGGAGGGTGGATGATTAGCTGAAACTCTTGATTTTGTGGTTTGAAACTAAAACTACTCTCCTAATTGATATGTCAGGACACAAACACATGAAAAGACATTATTGGTTTAATTTCTAAAAAGTCCAATTGGTTTTTTTTGTTTTTTTTTGTATTACTAGGCCGAACTTTAAGAAAATAATCTTACTCCCTCATTTGTTTTATATATGGTGTGTGCATAGCTCTTGTGTGTCTATCTCTATGTTGCCCTAGTAATAGACTGGAGATATTTCCAAGTTGTCTTACATTGCCCACACATTGATCACTGGAAATATATAGTAGCCTCTCAATGGCCTGCACAGGACTAAGCAAACATAGGAAATGATATGATGGATTAACAGATAACTATATTTTTTAATGTATTTATTCCAGTGTGGTGTTACAAAACCCTAATCTAATGAAAGTGCAGTAATATACTTGAAGAAAGATTCGATAGAAGCATACACAAAGAGAAGGCACTTTTGGACTTAAAGGTATAGTGGAGGATTTTCGAGAATTTTTTAAAAGACCCGCCCTCTCCTCTTTAAAAATAAAATGCACATGGACAACCCTGCACCCGCTCCTGAGAGGGAACGTCTATGAAATGCGTGCGAGAGCATGTAGGAGGCCATTTCTCCTCGTGCACGCTCTGTTTAAAAATTGCTGTTTGCATCGCTCATACAAGCTAATCCTCATACAAAAGAGGATTTGCAATTTTTCCACTATGTCAGTCTCACCACCAGTAAGTGAAAATGGGGAGGAGCACGTAGGACGACCTTAGGTAAACATATCACCAGAATGATTGACAATTAGGAGGGCCACTTATTTTGATGATCCACCTGGAAAAAGAACATCCTGCACTATACCTTTAAGGACCCAGAACACTATGGGTAAATGAAATCAATCGCATTATAACAATTAGGACCAGATGTTTCGCATCGATGTGGGAAATTGTGCCACAATGATCTGTTTTTAACCTGGTAAATGTATTTCAAACACAGGATTATAATAATGGCTCTTGAAAACTTGAAATTTATTTTACAGTTTTTTGTTTTTGGTGATTTAAGATAGTTCTATTGCAGATGTATTTTAAATAGATGGTCTGGTGGAACCCAGAGGTTATGTAAATATGATAAAAAAAAGTTACTCTAACACAAGCTTAAACCAAGACTACAACATATTTTCACTTAAACATATTATTTAAACATATCTTCCTGGTTTGAAGCTCACTTCACTGATTTCTGGTGAATTTTATTGATTCATTTAAAATAATTTCATTTATAAAAGATAATCATTTTTAACATTATTCTCTTGTACTCGGGTTTTAACGCTCCAAAGGATGTTGATGTTTTATGCCACATTTTACTGATTTTCCTATTTGTGTTTTTTGAACAGCAATAACAAATGGTTTAAAGCAGTTCAAAGTGCTTTATGAATAAAGTTGGATTGAATAGTATATCTGATGATATGGTTAGACTTTTTTTCTTTTACTGAAGCTTACAACTTAGTAGTAGAAGAGGTTGTGGACTATTGTAGAAACTTTCCATAGATCAGTGTTGTCAGCTGTCACACACAGGAGGACTGATGCATCCACAAATCTACAAACAAGTATTATTTTGGGTGAAAATGTGCAAATGGTTGTATGTGTGACTTTGTGAATAGCATTTTGTTGCAGCTGCATAATGGTAAGAAACGTATGTATGTGTTCAAGGTACGCTGCTTGTTTGAATGAGCCTGGACTCTCTGGGAATGAGAAAGCTTTTGTGTTAAATGAAATTTCCTCTATCATTTCCACTGACTTCTTAAGTGTGATTCTTTGGGTCCAGGCTTCACATTTATTTCCATCACAATACATAACAGAACAATGTGGCTCACAGGGTTACCACATGAAGCCTGATGGCATGATAGTGACAGCCTGTGTTGAAAATAGCCGTCTGTCATAAAAATTCTAAGAGATGTCACTTTGGAAGTTTGCTGGGCTCTGTACAGTCACTGCTTCTGTGTTTCTTTGTTCCCCTTTGTTTGCTGAATTATATTTATTGGTTTTCTGGTTAAAGCATTTGAATATGAATTTTTTATATACATGTATGAAGTCTACCTGTTATCACCTGTGTCTTATTTCACAGTTAAAGCACTGCAAAAAGTTGAAATTGAAATAAGTATTTTATTTCTTGAATTGAGGAAGTAAGTGAGACCCTTTGGCAAATGGAAGACAATTTACAATTAAAATAAGAAAAAAAAAAACATTTGTATTGTCTTATTTGAAGCACATATTATCTAATTATCTTATTTTAAGATAAAAATACTCATTCCATTGGTAAATCATTTTATTTACCTACTCATATTATGAGTAAATACACTTGATTTAAGAATTTTTTACTTATTTCTGGATCGTTTTGACAGTGTCCTAGATAAAAGACATTTAGATATTTAAAAGTAAAAGGATTTGTATATCTGATCAGTTCATAGCGAAAATCTGCCTTTAAGCTGTGTTGTACTATCTCGAAATAATCAAAGGTGTTTTTTTGTTTTTTTTGTTAACACAGGAATAATAACAATTCAGAATACTTACATTATTTAGTTTTCAAATTTTGATTTGAGTTACTGAATGAAAACAAAGTGTTGGTATAATTGGGCCTTAGTGCAGCATTCAACGCTGTTGCTTGGTCCATTTTACTAGAGCACTTGGAAAACTGGCTCAGCCTTTCTGGTACAGGACTAGACTGGTTTAAGTTCCTTCTTGAAGGACAGCGCCTGTTTTGTGTCAGTTTACTACAAAAAACTGAAATCTAAATGAGCAATTGTTTCTTCATTTAAGTGCATTTTTCTTGAATTGAGGAGGTAAGTGAGACACTTTACCAATGGAACAAGATAATTTACATTTAAAATAAGAAAAAAAAATCTATTATTTTAAGTGCGTATTATCTAAATATCTTACTTTAAGAATAGAAATGCGCATTCCTTTAACAAAACATCTTATTTACCTTCTCAAATTAAGGGTGAATCCACTTAATCTAAGAAATATTTACTTATTTCTAGATTCTTTTTGCAGTGTAGGTGACATTACAACACACACCAAACAAACCTCCCATGAGTTGTTCCCTAAGGGTCCATCTTAGGGCCCCTGCTGTTTAATATCTACATGTTTCCACTAAAGGTGATCTAAATAGCAATATCAGCTACCATAACTATGCAGATGACACATACCTTTACATCACAATGTCACCAGGTATGAACTGTCATGTATTTTGCATATCTAGAACAGACCAAAAGATGAAGAAGCACCTTTAATTCTTATGCCCCACAAATCTAGAATAAACTCTCAAAAGTGCTGAAACCCTCAGTTGCTTCAAATTGACATAAAAACATGTTTTTTTTAGAGTGTGTCCTTTGACTGTGCTTTCTAAGCATTAGTTATGTTATCAGTCTAACTTTTATTCCATGTTCTTAATCAACTAATCTTTTTTTTATATAACCCTCTCGTTGAATGTGCTACATTTATTTTCTTTAACTGCTTGTGTTGCCTCTATTCCACTAGAATTTTATTTTTTTCCTCATGTACAGCACTTTGAATGTTTTGCCGCTGACATATGCAATATGAATAAACTTGCCTTGCCTTTCAGAACCAACCAGACTCTGCATTATACTCAGGTTGTAGTGTTGCTCCTAAAACCCCCACCAAATAACTTAGGAAATATATAAATGCTGATGGATCTAAACTTGGTTACCTCAAATGGTTGTTGACTATGTGAAGCAAATTTGCAATAAATGCTGGTGTTTTATTCAGTAGTAGATGCACAAATATAAAATATAGTCTCTATTTCTCAGACTGGTCAGCATGTTTTCCTGTTTCATTAATCTTCTGTCCGGTTCTTTTGCTGGCCGCTCTGCATATATATTATCGTTTTTAATGGGACTGCGTCGATTCAAGCGGTTGCTGTGCATGACTTACTCTTAAATAATAAAATTTGCCTGTGTGTTCCAGGACTGGATGTAATAAATATTGCATACGGGTCCTGCTTTATGCATTTTCTGCTTCCCTAATGTATTTGGTGTTGGCTTTTCTTTTCTGGACTCTATTTGATATGAGTCCAGCAGGCTTCATTTATCCCCAATTTGTACTCCATTCCATCCTCTACCCCTTTCTGTTAATTTAGTAATTAAAAGCTTATTTTACCTATCTTACAAAGGAAACCAATTAGACCTTGGTTCCATTTTTAGTTTAAAATCCTTGCATCATTCAACACACAAAAAAAGTGCCATTAAAAGTCAACATTTTTGTGGATTACAAATGCCTTCTCTCACACCGCTGTCTATTTACACTTTGACACACTGAGTTCCTTGTGGACATTCAAGGTATTTCATTGCTTTTTGTCATTGCAGGTACCCACCAACACAACTATAACCATGTGGCTCTAGGTAGCCCGACACGCACACCTAAGAATGGTAAGAAAAACTACAGGGAGCGGAGGGGAATCTTAAAGTGACTTCAAGGATTAGCTTTGTGTCTGACAGTCATTCCTTCATTACTTGAGATGGATGAGTGACAAACCCACTGACATGGTCCTCCTTTCAATTCACTGCATATACAGTCCCTGAAAAAGTATTCACATACCTCTGGCTTTCTTTTACTTTTTGTCACATAACAGTTACTAACCATTATCAAAATTTTACTTGATAGACATGTTGGAAAAGTGATCCAAATTGATCCATTGAGTCGAATTCACCTCAAAATCACAGTGGTTTAAAGGCTGTAGAGGTTTATCACTAACACCAAAGAACCCATCAGATTGGCCAGAGATAAAGCAGGGTTAGGTTTAGGTCATAGAGTAATTATCTAAACTCTAAGCATCTATCAGAGCACCTTTAAAGTATGACACGGTAATAGTGTTAAATATGGCACAGTGGAAAACCCTGCAAGACAAAGCCTTTTAAAGTTTGTCTGGGTCAGCTGGTTGCCTATTACCATTTAGGTAACAGGCAAGGCAAGGAAAGCATTATTTAGAGGAGCAGCTTAGAAGAGGAACAGCAGAATCTGTTAAGAGGGATTCACACATGTTTGAAGTGGTAAGATGTATCGGCTCTGCTCAGATGAATGTCAGGACTGTGTAAACGCAACTCTGGGAAATCCAACATATTGGAATGTCTTTACCCATTATCCTATTGTATGTGGTATTCACTGAGGGCAACTGGGCAAGTCCCCTTCTATTACAGCAACCTACAGGCAAAAAAACTATTTACCTCCAAATCATAGAGAGCAATACAGTCCCAGCTCATTATGTCTCAAAGTTTGTTCTTTATATTTTTGTTTTTCTCTTATGAAATGAGTCCACATACTTGGGTCATTGCATGCTTGTTCACTCCAGCATCACGTCTGCTCTTGAGAGGTTTAGCAAGAGTTCCTGTCTGACAGTTGGGTTAAATGGATTTGTGTGTGGTGTGATTCATTTGTCTTGTGGTTGGAGACAACACATCTTTTGACCAGAACTGTTAAATCCTTATCATTTATTGTCAGGTGTAAGGTCTGTTGCGTTTTGAAAATCACCTGACAGGTTTACAATATTGCCATGTGAACCCGCATTTAGCAACAATGTTTTGCACAGATTGGGCCTGTATGGGACTAAAGAAAAAGCCAGTGATGACAGAAAGCCATAAAAATTTCCATCTGCAAATCTGTGAAGATTTTCAGTTGTCCAGGTCAAGGTCAAGCTTGAAAGGTTCAGTGTATGCAAAGGTTTCTTATCCAATATTCTTCTTAATTTCTAAATAGTGTTGAACAGCACTAAGATAAATATACTGTAGATGTAACAAAGAATTACGTGGGGGAACAAAAAGATGCTTTGTTCCCTCCTAATGGATTGGCCACGGAGTTCACCTGGGAGGTTAATGGTCGTTAGGGGGTTCTGATGCGTCCCATCTGCATTTTTGCTTCAAGCAATGTTATAGACCGTCAAACATGCAGATAATAGTTCTTTTTTTTTCATATGAGACTCGACTGAACTTTCTTGCTTCCATGCAAAGCCCTCTGTGTGGCTCACCTTGGATACAACTGAACACTGGTTTCATATGGGGAAATATTGTATTGTCAAAATATGGCTGTGGCAATACTTCTCTTCACAAGAGAAGAGAAGATGGTCATGGCAGATGATGCAGCTGGACACGGAGATTCCTGAAGAACACCTGTTATAGGGTGCATAGGATCCAAGAAAAGGGTGGAAGTTCATCTTAGAGCTGCCACCCTTAAATATAGAGCCAGTGTTAAAATTATAGTTTTTATCAAATCACAGAAGTTTGAAAGGGACCTCTTCACAAATACCTTTTATAAGTCATCCCTTAAGAAATACATCCACCTAGGTGCCAACGCCCAGATGGGTTTCAAGAGGTTAAAAGTGGGTTGTGCAGACTTCTTCTACAAAAAAGATAAAAAAATAAAAAAATAAAACGGTCATGTTGCATGGGTGTGAATACTTTTACAAGGCCAAAGATTAAATCCTGGTGTTTTCGCAACTCATGGTCATGTCCATTTTTACACTGAACACGATTAAGCCTCCATTTCTTCTGTTCCGTAAGATAAATACCATAATATTCTTTCCAGGTCATCCAATGGTGGGATGACAGACTTTGTGGACTCCATTTTCCTTTGCTGCTCTACAAAATAACCAAAGTTATCACCTAAAGCTAATAGTGGCCAATGAGGCAACTCCATAAACATATTTTTTTTTGTTCTGACATCATCCAGCTGTCAATCTATATCATTATTGTGGGGGTTGCATATTTAAAGAAGCAGGAAAAAATAGCAAAGAGTGAAAAGGCTAGATATAATTTTCCTACTTCTAAATAATTAATTTACACACATTTTGTAATTTTTTTCACTTTCCAATTAAAATAGATATTCAAAATATGTAGCATTGCATGTGCATGACGTTTGCAGCCGGAATGTTTCTTTCTTTTGTTAACATAATTGACCATATGGTGTAGACACACTCACCCAGATAAGCAAGCCACACATTGGGAACAAATGCTTGGAGATCTGTGGGAAACATGAAAAATCCATTTCAACAATATATCTAACACAGTCACTTTGATCACAGTCTGGCTGAAATCCTTTGCATTTCAGCATGCAGTGTATTTTCTAGATAAAACCCAATGTTCCATTTCTCTCTGCCTGGCCCACTACTGACACAACCAGAGCACAAAATGGCAAAATGGGCACAGGCTCTGGAAGTGGAGCCACTGGAGGCGAAGGCTGATTTCATCAGAATAATTGTTTATGGGAGCATTTTCTGCACTGGTCATGCTGAATGTGGAGAAGGTTTGTGTGCAGTGTGTTCTTTCTCTTACCATCAACATGTTTCTGAAATCTTTTTTGTTGTGTTTTTTTTTTGTTGTTGTTGTTTTTGCTTGGGTTTGGTAGCTCACCGATCATTGAGGCGTGGTAAGTCATACATACATATTTGATTTGATATAACTGTTTATCCATTTTATTACACATCCTCCACAATCCAACCCTCATGAATCTGTCTTCCTTTCTTTCATATCTGCTGGTGTATTGTCAGACCTGATTTAAGTAGATTTGAAAGCGTGTTTGATCCTGCTCCTACAGGAAACTTCTAGGGTTTTGCCATGTGGGTTCAAATATACTGTTTCAGTATTATATGATTTTATCGAATTGCAAAAGTCCAAACCACACTGAGGCTTAAAGTTGTCTCTTTCTTACTGCCAACAAGTCCTAAAAAAGATTTTTTTCCTTTTAGTGGACAAAATAGGAACTGTGAAAAATGAAGAATGACAGTTTTGCAATATCTGTGCTGAAATCTCTCACTCCCTCTCTCTACTCTCACACAAACACCCGACATACATTTTCTTTGTCTTAAAAGAAAAGTGTACCACCTTTCAGTCAACCAGTTGACTGGCAGTGCACCATATCTCATGAGTGAGACATGAAACAGAAAGACAGATGTTTTAAAGCAGCAATAGTTAATGGTTTTAAAAGTTTAGTTTCATAGAACACTCAAAGCTCTAATGCAAACTAAGAATTCCCCTACAGGGATGCATTGATACACAGAGGTTAAAACGTGTGACCCGTGTACAGAGGCCTTGACATGACCACCATGGGTTTACTCTATGCCCTATGTCTTCCCCCTCTCTACCCAATGGGAATAACCTTGTTTTGCTTGCAAACATTAAGCCCAAACACAGATCTGTTTTGTGGCAAACAAATTGCATATCTTTAATTCTTTCAACTGAGCAGAGGAATCTAACAGCTTTGTCACTTAAGCCCTAAATAAGTTTTGTCATCGATTTTTATATATAGCTTTAATCTTTTCATTGGATTTGTTGGCAGAAAAGCTCAAATTTAAGTTCCTCACTGTGGAACACTATCCTTAGCTGATAAGTCACCAAAGTCTTGAACTATTTGAGCCAGGTCTGTGTGGTTGTAGTGTCTGTCTTGATGAAGAAGTGAAACATGTTTGCTATTGAAAGTTAACAGCATGCCACAGTCCATTCTTCCTTATTGATGCAGGATTGCAGACACTCCACCCAGAAATCATTTACATTATTCAGACCCCATTTCCTGCAGTTCCCTGGACCCCCAGCAGTCGTGTGACCCTCCTGAATCCCCCCTGCCCATTCTGTCAATTTTCCCGTCCAGATTTTCTCCCCTTCTTGTATTACAGTCAACCTTTTGTCCCTTTCAGGTGGCCTCATCTTCATCTCTACTGCATTTTATCCTATGTTTTCCATCTTGCAGAAATTGCAAAAAGCCCTTTTTCTATCCGTTCAATGAAGGCGGCTGTAGAGCCTCATCCATGTAGCAGCTCTGTACTCTGACAGACGTGTAACAGAGGGGACGTGAGATAGAGAAGCAGCCAGAAAGACAATGAGAGAGAAGGGAATACGGGATGGACAAGAAAGAATTAAGAAGCGAAGAAAAGTGGGTGGTAGCATGGTGGGAAAGATAAGATTGACAGAGTGAGGAGGACGGAGCTAAATGGCACAGACTGAATGTTTGCGTCCATGCATGTGTGTGAGGAAGAGAGATAAAAAGTAGAGTAAGAATAACAGAAACTTAGGTCATTCAGACACTCCTTCTGCCTGCAGCCCAACCCGAGTGTCCTCCTGAAATCATATCACGTCGTTTGAACAGCAGTCTGTCTGGGCATTGCTCCCTGCCTGGTCCCAGATCACATCACAGCGCTGTCATGAACAGGGTCACTCTCAAACACTCAGAGGCTGTTATGTGTACTGTCTTGTTTTCTTCCTCTCGTTTCCCTCTCTGAGCACTGCTTCCTCGAGTCAAACCACCGCCTCACCTGTCGAGCCACTGCAAGCACTCATTGAGTGTGTAATGTTTCCACCTATAGTGCCCTACCATGTAAAGAAAGCTGGAGTTTTAGATGTGCAAGCATCTCTGAAGAACAGGCACTTTGGTATCGAAGCTCCATAGAGCTTCAAAGTCAAGACTTTAGAAAGAACATGAAGAGAGCCAAGGACAGCTCAAAGATTTTAAAACCACACTTAGAACAGCCAGCTGTAAGATGTTTCATTTTTCACTTCTCAGCAAATTTCATTTATAAGCAGTGGCTTGTAAGTATAACAGTTCCCATGAAACGTCCAATTTTTTGTTGGTTTTTTTGGAGTGTTATGAGACGCTCAAGCACAAAGTGACGAATGAAACTGGAAGGAATATAAAACATGAGTTTCATTTCTCTCTTTTACCTGTTTTAAACAAATAGAAATCTCGAAAATGTGGATGGCACAGATATCTTAAATAATATTTAGAAAAAGATTCTTATGAGGTATTTTCTCTATTAGTGTTGCGTGTCAACAAACTAAATGTTTGCTCAGGTAAGATGGCTCTGTCAGATCAATAGAGAGTTCCAGCAGAACAGCCGTTTAAATTTGTCAATTGGACTTCAGTCTGGAGTGTAATTTGATCACATGAATACACATTAAACATTTTTACATTTTACATTTACAGTGTTGATTTGGCAAGACAGGACAATGAGAGTTTAATTATAGAGCACTTTTCGTCAAAGATCTTTACACCAAATCAAAAGAGAAACATTAAAATGACAAAAATACAAACACTCGCATAAAAAGAAACATGTTAAAACGGCTTTAGATATTCTCCAATCTCACTCTCCCCACTCATCTGTGATCAAGCAAAAAGTTAATCAGTAAGACCTTTTAGACAAAAGCTGCTGCAAGCAAATCTTGAGCTGTAAAGGAAAGAATCTAAATGCCGCCCTCATGTTTTGTTTTTGAACTTTGAACACTGAATATGCAGGTCTTTGTGGTAGTGATGCACCAATATCAAAATCTGACCAATATGCATATTGCTGTTAAGGCTGATAACTGATAGTCATCAATATTATTACCTCTAAACCCATTGGACCAATTAAAAAAATGAACAAAGGGTTAACCTTGTCTCTCTGTAGTGTTAAAAACCCAGAATCCAGACCTGCTTCGTTACCGTTGTCATATGAACAAAGCAAGTAATTACATAGAAATATATGTCCATCCAGATTTTAATCCATAAAATATAGATATGGGCTGGTAATATCGGTCCCATATACTTATTAGACCAATAGTGATATAATATATTTAAAAACGCAGCTATCAGTATATTGGTTATTCCTATTGTGAAAACATTAGGTGGCCATCTTGTTTTTACTATTGTCTCATAGCAGCGTTTTAAATTCTGCCATTTACAAGCAGTTCATTTGAACAGTGATTTTTTTATATTTTCATTTTTAGGACATCTTAGAATTACTGACACATTGACTCATTGAAGGCTGTAGTCATGAAGTGACACATAGTTGTGTCCTGTTCTAAACTCTACCAATCATTTTTTCCATCCTGATAAGCTTCCTTTTTCCTCTTGAAGAGCAACACTACTGCATTATGATGCTTTCACCTCTTCGCTTCACTGTGGCGACACTGTGTGTACTGTTAGTTCTTCACGCGAATAACTGAATACATGCCGAAGCAAAACTTACATTTCTCTACATAGCTTGTGCCAATTGACAAATTAGACCTTTTTTCAACAATGGCTGTCTTCCTCTTATGTTTTCATGAAGGGCAGTAATTCATGTATGAAATTAGCTGTGGAACCCCTCAGCCCCTTTTAAAAAGACCTAGGAATCTTATTTATTTTTTTTTTTCTATACATTTCTATTCTGTCACTCTTGGTGACAGTAATGGCTCTTATTTCCAGTTTTCCATGATGGGTTAAATACCTTTCTGTAGGATAGTTCAAGTCTTCAATCATTTTTTCTTGACCTATTTATTGTTCTTTGACCTTCATGAAGCTCTTTCACCAACAGCCTATCTGGGTTTAATATGACTTACTTCTAATTAACATGTAAGTGGACTTTGATTAATGGAAACATAACCCTTTAATAAATATTATAGTATAGATTTTTTTTTTTAATTATTTCTAAAGGAAAAAAAACTGCCATTTACTTCTACTGTGATACACACCACTTTGTGTTGATAGATCTCATAATACTCCAAATTGAATACATTTCTGTTTTGGTTATAACGCTACACAATATGAAAATATATGTCCTAAATTACCTAAGTTAACCTCCCCACTACCAACTGATTTATCCAGAAATACATTTTCTAAAAAAAATTAGTAGATTTTTCATCACCTCTGCCCCCAGGGATCATTCGTATAACTAAAACTTCAGCTCTTCCATCAGCCTGCTCCTGTTTTCCTCCACTTCAGCAGGTGGTCCGCCTGTGATGATTGCCAGGGGTCTCATCCTTGCAAGGTGTCATTTGAAGGAGTTTGGGTTGGGGAGCAGAAGAAACCAGCCTGCCCAATATTTCCTCTTCTGTGTCTGTATATGTACGTATGTGTCTCCAGAGAACAATCGGATAAGCGGCATCCTGACCTCGCAGACGGAGCCCTACGACCTGTCTTTCTCACGTTCCTTCCAGAGCCTGTCACATCTGCCACCCTCCTACGAGGCGGCCGTCAAAGCCGACCTCAGCCGGTTCTCATCCCTGAAGAAACTCAGTAGGTCCAAGTTCACTGCACTAATGCAAGAGAAGGATCCCCGTCTTGGTGCCTGCATGATTAAAAAACAAATAAAAAAAATGTATTATATGCGCTTCCCTGTTTCTTGAGCCTAAGCTACTATAGCACCATATTGTTTATCTCAAAGAGCGAATTCCCGGCTGTTTTGAGGATATCTGACAAAAGTAGTCATTACCCAGGTTATTTTGCTCATCACAGTTGTATAAATATGAAGGTAAATCAAGAGTACTTTGAATCTAAATGAGCTATATATCCTTTTCATCTCTGAGCATGGAAAAATAAGTAGTCATCTCAAAGAAACTATAAAGCTAAGACATTCCTTTTTTCTTTTTGTCTTCACTTAAATACTGCAGCCACATATTTTCTCAAAGCAAAGAAGTGCATTAAGTGGCGTATTGGGCCAAGTCTGGCTCGGCTCTGTTTCATATTGATTTAGTGGCGTTACGCTGGATTTCTGCTGCGTAATGAGGTCTCATCTCCCGATATACTCTAAGTGAACTATTTCTTGAAGCTTGTGTAATCTCATCAAGACCGTCCAGCTTCATTGCTGGCATGTGTTCAAAGTGAAGGATGACGCTCCGCAGCTCATCCAGTCAGAGTTCACTCCACACTGCCACACAGAGCAGCAACTGCCAGGAACCTTTTCTGCAAAGTGAAAAATGGTTATGAGGCATTCAGGGCTGCTTATCATATATTCATGTACCAAATGCTTTCAAATATAACAGCTTTTGATGGAAATTAAAACAAAACCAAATTAATTCAATTTACACAACAGAAGCCTACTACATAGACTGTGTTAAAAGTCTACAAATACCCTCAGGCAGTGTCCTTCAGTCTTGCTAACTTTCTTTCTGCTTCCAAAGCAAATTATTTGTTGCAGCAAATAGCCAAAAGGCTCTTCTGTTTCTTTTTGTTGCTTAACTACTCTGTGTATGCTGACGGTTAATGCTGGATTGTGCGAGAGGGAAGATAGAGCAGCGGTTTTATTGTCGAGATAATAAAAGAGAATAATGCTTCTGCTTATTAATGCAAATTGCTATCAAAATGAAGAAAAAAACATTTAGACTGTTGCCATGTTGGACAGTATACATCACAAGTTATTCATTCACTCCATGATAATATGGTTGATGAGCTTGCAGTGCCCTGCCCAGATCGTGCTGACTATTATGCTTGAGAAGGGAACATCTTGTTTTTATTATTTCTCATAATGAATCGATTTGCAGCAGGCGCCTGTGGCTTGCCAGAGGGGATTTTGGCTGAATCTGATATGGACAGGTGGCATGAGCCTTTTTGCACTCATTATTGAAGGAGATAGCATCACAAACAAAAGCCATTTACAAGCTCTTCATAAATTATTTCTGCTTGCGTTCACTTCTAATTAAGTGCAAACCAGTCATTTATTGACATTCATGGATAATGATTAGTTTCCTTGAAAAGATGTCCGAACCAACTTTTGTAAATGTATCCCACCATGTTTCTAATTCTGTAAAGAGTTTTTGTGCATGTATTTATGTTGTGTGGCATGACCATGATCCTATATTCTTTCCTAAAGTTGATTATCTCTGAAAGTATTTGTCACTTTGGTCTTTCTCTAAATGCATGTTTTCTTGTCTGCATACAAAAGTAAAGAAAGAGGCAACTCTTAATGAATATTAGACCTATTCCAGCTCTCAAGGATGTACTGTATTTGCACTGAAACAAGTAGCATTGCAGCATGTTTGTTTAAAGTGCCCGAATGTTTCCATGTATGTCACTTTAATGCTTGTTCCTGTTTATGGACTTCCTCATGACCTTTAAAAAATTTTCCCCACAGCCAGGGCTGACTGTAGCATTCCCGATGAAACTTGGATGTGGATGTTGTGTGCCTAGCATGTACTATGCAATTCCTCTATTTCTATTCCCTGTTATGAGCTTGGAAAGGTGAAACACAGATGGGTCTGTCAACATCACTCTCTGCCATATGTGCAATGTTTTACTCTTCCTCTTGATCAAATTTTTTTCCATTCCTGTGCAAACATCTTCCTGTTTTTTTTTTTTTTGCTCTTTCACATCCTGGATCTCTTTCCTCCCCACTTGCCTTCTTTTCTTTGCTTAATTATGATTTTCTTTGTAGCAGATAAAGAAGTTGATGACTACTACACCCGTAAGCGTCACCTGCCTGACCTGGCAGCAAGAGGAACTCTTCCTTTGCATGTTCTCAAAATAAGTCAAGAACAGGTGGGTGCACAAGGGTTGGAATTAAAAGAAAAGTCTTTAAAATTAGGTGATATTCTCTGAAGTGATAAGTGTAGGTTCTGGCTCTAAGCCCGAACACTTTCATTTCTTTAAATCTTCATTATAGTTAATCATTCAGTAGTTTCCAATTAGAGTGCCTCAAATTGTGAGTGATCTTACCTTAGTCATGTTTTTGCTCTCCAGCATCGGGAACAACCACAGCAACAACTCCAAAGCCAACCACCACAGTCCAGTATCTCCCAGGCCCCTCCTCAGTCGCAGTCTTCCCAGCAGCAATCCCAACAAAGGCAGAGGCCTCGTCGTGTCCAGAGAGCCATGTCCCAAGACCGTGTCTTGATCCCACAAAGTGGTCCACACCAGGAATACAACATGTCCTCTGAGGGCATGTCCCCTTATGGTGGCCGAATTCTCTCAGATGAGCAGCTTCTGTCTGCTGAACGTCTTCGATCCCAGGAGCGTCTTCTACCACAGGACCGTCACACCTCCCAAGATCGCCTGTACTCCAAGGATCGCATGTACTCCAAGGACCGACTCCTGTCCCAAGAGCACTTGTATTCCAAGGATCGCCATTACTCTCAAGAACGCCTCTACTCACAAGACCGCTTGTATTCGCAAGACCGCCTCCTGTCTCAAGATCCTCTCCTGTCACCAGACAAGTTGGTGATGTCCTTGAAGCGTGGTATGGTCACTAGCATTTCTGGAGGCTTTCACGGTAGTGACAAGTCAATTTCTCGTGCCATCTCACACACTGATGTGTTCACGCCAACTACTCCCCTTATGGATCGCTACAAGATGACCAAAATGCACTCGCATCCAAGTGCATCGAACAATGGTGTCAGTGGCAGTGGTGGCAGCAGCGGGGCACAGGGAACTGGGGTAGCTGTACATTCCAACACGTTAGCCATGAATCAGACAGCAAATAAGAGACAGGTGTTTGCCTCTAGACGAACTCACACTGTGGAGCAGCTCCACTATATCCCACAGCACCACCAGCAGCAACAACAGCCACAGCACTACCGCACAGGCAGCAAGACTGAAGTGACTGTGTAACAGTAGCCCTAACCTGAACTGTGCTGGAAGAATCAATGCTGTACCAGGCCATGGGTTTTTTTGCACAACTTGCCACCTTGTAGAGTAGAAAGTAGTGACTTAATTTACCTTAACTGAAAATTCCAGGACCAAGATCATCAACTAGCTTACTGTGAGACCGGAACAAAGAACTACACTGTACACTGCATAAACATGCCCAGCAAGATTTGAAGCCAGATAGGGTTGTGGAAGGGATGAGGTTGGGTCTTGTCAAGTTAACCTGCCTAATATACCTTCCAGTTTCTGGATAATCCAATTGTCCACAGCCTACAGCCTGCCTCTGTATATGTTTTAGTGGAAACACGTATTGTGTCTATTCAAGCCTTGATCAGTCCCCTTTGTCCCACAAATCTATGACCTTTTCTGGCAAATCTTAAAGGGCTTTGCATGGTTATAAACAAAAACTGATTCCTCCGTGACTTTCGTTGTTTGACACAACACCATCACAGGCAATGAACAAGAGGGAGCCTGTAATCTCTTTATAAATATATAAATAAATAACATAAATGAATAAAAAGAATATTTTTATGCCCCATCTAACTCATAGCCCTAGAGAACCTCATGAAAGAAACTGAAATGGATGTTATCTGCACTTGTATTTGGTGCCTCTGACAGATGTTCCATTTCTGAATACCAAGTGGTTTTGTGGGTTACTAAGCACAATCAATAGAAAATATTCAGTTTTGGTCTATCTTTGACTTTGAATAGTGATGGCTAGCTTGTTTTGTTTTTAAAACAATGGCATTTTATTTTTCCCTTCTTTTGCTTCCAGTAGGCAATTGTAAATAAGCTATCCTTGAAGCAGTCTTATGGACAAGTCTGTACTGGATGAACTTTGTATTAGACTGTCTGTTTTAAATAGATTCTTAAAAACTATAACTCATCACTGTTTAGTGAGTTTAAGATAGAAACCCACTTAACAAATATCTGACAGGATAATTACTGTGTTTCTTTGCCAACTTGGTTGGACAAGAAGTGAATGAATGTGTTACTAACAATAGATATACCACGTTCTTGTTTGGATGTAGACTGTATTCCATTAATATAGGAAGACCGGATTATCTTGGTTATGGAGTACAACATTTGTCAAAGTAGGGTCAAATAAATCATCCATATTTTTCTAAAAATGCAACATGGCTCAGTGAGATTTTTGTGTTGTTGTCTTTATTAAACAATTTCCTGCTACCTTTGATCACATGTTTGTGAATTATGCAAGTGGGTTACAGAAATTAACCACAGGTTGCCTTTGTGATTATAACAGGGGAATCTCTCACCAATTATGACTGATCTAAATGTTATCATAAAAACACATACTACATTCACAATGCATTCTGCACTACATGTGTTAGGAGTTTCTTAGACAGAGACTGAGGATTTTCTCTAAACAGAACTTTAAATACCAAACTCAGTAACACTTTCTCCTGAAAAATGGAACACCCAAACCAAAGCTGTGTGCCATTGCTTACGCAATCCAGTTAAGCCAGGATTGCTCAGACTCCTAAATCAATGAAACCAAAAACAGAATTACCAAAAGAGCATACAGTAACAGCCATTCAAAATGGCCCTTCCCAGTCAAATGCCTGCCGATTTGCAGCCCACTTACCTGCAGCTTTTAGCAATATCCCCTCCAACTTCCAGCCACTGGAGTGATCCCTTCTTCTCCCGGGCAAGCATATTTTTTCACTTTGACTCCCCCCCTTTCAATGAATTACAGGTTCTGACCAAGAGATGACGCTTCTATTTAGATCTTATTCTCCACAAATCAAGACAGAAAGAATATTTTAGCACAAAGATTGATGTTTAAAAAGCAATTGTAGGGGTTAGCCTAGGGCCAGACAAGGGCATCAAGGAAATTTGGGAAATTTTGAATGGCTACTGCTGTAAGACAGTCAGTTGCTCTGGGCAAGTTTCAGCTGAACATTTGCACTTCAAGAACAAGAGACAGTCCTTTCTCATGTAGCAAACAGGTCTGGGGCCATTAATACAGTTAACTGCTGACATGGCAACCACTATTTCAAACTGAAGCGGGCCAAGTCTGGCAATGATGACAGAGGTTATATCATGGCATACCACAAGCAAAATTGGTTTTGTATATATGACCCAAATGTGTACATGTCATACATGTGCAAATGTGGTTTAAAATATGTTGGCAATGGCATGTATTTACATCTTGCAAACTTCAGTTTTTGAGTTTAGTTTTTCAGAGTTGATCAGTGTTGATACAATTCAACCTAATATTATTTGGTTCAATTAGAAATTACTAAACTAATCCTATAGGGATAGGTTAAATGTTATCATAACCTTTTTTATTTCAATGAGTTTTCTTAGATGTTTGTACGCTTTGTAGGATCTTCTCTACAGATAACTCTCTTTTTAACAGACTTCAATGTCTGAAGTTATGCAGCATCTTGCCGGAATAACATAAAGGACCTAAGCTTCTCAAAGTAAACTCTGGTCCTTTCATTCTTGTAGACGACTTTACAGTTTTGCTTCAGTCTGTTGTCCAGGAGAACACCAACATCCATTTAAAACTAAATGGATTTATGTAGAACTGTCACTGTTGTGGAAAAGTGTTTAAAGGAACACAGTGCAAGTTTTGGGTTTTACAGATGTTTGTCCCTTCTGGTGACAACAGCCAGTGACAACAGTCTTTTGCCAGTTTTGCATGTGCATGGGAGAAGTGGAAAAATATCTGCAGCAGTGACTTCATATATCCTTGTTTACAGTAATAGAACAGAGACATGTCTTCTGAGGTAAGAATTGTAAGAAATCCCTCTCATATGAACTGACTAAAGGAGGCTGTAGAGGCATCTGCGGTAATTAGAGGAAAGCTCATTTTACATGTTGGGCAATTATGAGACGTGTAGAAAATAGTTGGATGTGATGGTTATTTACTCAGAAGCATTTGAAACCAAACTGTTGCCTGAGGAAGACAATCAAAGCAAGAAAAAACAAAAACAAGGGTGTGTAGCAGGACTAATGTGCTGCAATGGTGTGCAATTAAAATTCTAAAATACTATTTTAATATAGATATTATTTACTGCAACTTTCCAACTTTAAATTCACTTTTAAGCACACAGGGCCTGATCTTCAGGAGGTCTGTGGGTCCAAAAATGGTTTTATGAGAAGGGCAGGTCCAAAAAGAAGGCGCTGAGTGATTCACGCTTGCAATTTAGCAGACAGCAAGTGCAAACCTTGTTTTGTAAGTGTGCCTCCATCAATATGCAGATCATATTCTAATGAGCAATTCATGGGTGGAGGATATGTAAATATAAACATGTACCACTTGCAAAGTGATTTTCCAAATCTGAAACTAAACTGCAGCTGTATTTTGTCTTTCTTAGCACATCTGAATTCACCTAAAAATGCACCTATCTACAGTCATTGAGGCCAAAAAGGAAGCATTGGTACAATGTCAGAAAATGCAGAAAGAATATTAGTTTATGTAAACATATTTGGACCATCAGGAATAACCACAGTAGAATAATTTTAAGAAAATTCTAAAAAAGGATATATATAGGCCAGCAAAAATATAAATGGTGCACGTTGGATGATGTTTATGCAATCAAACCAAAAATTAAAAAAATGTCTGAAATTAAATATTGTAACTTTAAATGTATGCTTTTAAAAATATTTAATTAAAGACAAAGAAAATATGCAAACTACAACAAAGCATTCAATTTACATAAACCCAGATTAACCCAAATCAAATAAATTAAATAAAACAATAGAAGTGTTTCAGTCCAGACTACAGTAAATAGCCAAGCAGTATCAAGCAATTTGAAAAGATATTAGCTGACTTAATAATGGCATTCTATCATCCAACCCAAGCCCAAATCACTGTTACAGGGTGACAGGTTTGGAGGCATAACAGAAGCACACCATCCACAGGCAGCAGGCAAGAAAAGACAGCAGTGACAGAAATCCATTAAAGGACCAACTGCAGAATCACTTTTTCCCAAAATGTAGCTCCAATATAGGGAGAGGACTGTTTAAACTTCTACCTGCAGTCATAATCAGGACTGAATATTTACTAGTACAGGTATTTTCATTGCCACTATTCTATTAGCATCCATAACCTGTTTTTCAAACAGAATTTTAAATGATGGTGCAGTGTCTCCCTACATGCATTTATTCAATGCAAATGCAAACCCTAAAATTGTATAAAGCAATAATTGCATAGACCATTATGGCACTATTTATGTTCCCCTTAGTTTACCTAGATTTATAAAATGAGGTGGCTGTTAGAGTTATTTACTGTAAGTAAGATGTTTTTTGCTTATAGCATTTTTACAGCAATCACATAAACAAATAAACCTGTTTTAGACCCATTTTTATATTTTTAACCATGGACATTGTCAGGTCTAATTCAGGGAAGCTCAAGTCCCTTTGAAATGTCTCCAAGCCCCTCTATAATTCAGGTGATCTTATGCATATCTCTAGGGTTGTATTGGGACCAAGGCAGAACTTGCATTGTGGTTATATTAATATTTCTGAGTGGGTGAGCTCTGTAGCAAGTTGAATTCATAGTGATTGACAAATAAAGTGAAACTGAGTAGGTGCTGCTGAAAGTTAATTTCCTACTTTTTGTTTCAAAAAAGGAAAATGCAGACTTTCTATCAGCACATTTTAGAAAGCACTCAGTTCTTTGCCATTTTATTTCTCCTAGTTATTTTGACCATAAAAGCATTGAGGTCTTTCCCAATGAGTAAACAAACAAACTCAATGAGTACCTAAGATCAATCCCCCAAGCCCTAAAAAATATTTCTGTCTATTTTATAATTGAAAAAGGCCAATTTACTTCCACTTTTATTTAATTCTATCTAAACATTTCTCAGAAGGTCAGTAAGAATTACAAAATCATTTGCATTTCCTAAATGAAGACAATATACAGACAGCCTATTCTTCTAAATGTTTTACTTTTTATTTAACAAATGCCTAACTATCAACATAGTACACAGAGTCCCATTGTCTAGCAACAACTGAGCAGACTGGCTTCTGTTAGGATAAATGGCTGGCTTCTTTCAAGTGAACATTGAACCAAGTTGTTTAAGTCATTTATTTTTTCGTCGGACAACATTTATCTACTGTTCTCGAAAATATATGGTTTATGGTTAAAACAATAGATAGAAAACTCAGAGTAGTTCATATGTATTTCTGTTTACTGACTATTGAAGCATCAGAACATAAGGAAGCAATGGTGGAAGATGGCCTTCCTCGATAAATACATTTTTATTTACATCAAGTGAAGGGATAAGGCTATTTCCATCAGCCAAGATAGCTAAAATCAGCCAGTGACATCGTAGGAAGCTACTCTTGAAGTATTACTTAAATCAGTAATTCTAAATCAGTATATTCAACAATCAGTAACATGAGTCTCAAAGATTCAAAGGCCAAATGCTCCATCCTGTAGATACCACCATAAGGTACAATTTGCAGAACATATTACAAGTTTTCATAATTGAATATTTATACTGAATCGGATTTTCATCTGCAAAAACCCTATTTCGAAACGTTGCACATCATCTGAATATGTTTGAATATTTCATTAGAGAAAACATAATAAAAATTCTGAAAACATAAATCGACCTACAGCTCCCTAAAGTGTAGTTATAAATCCAAATAGCACAAAGAAAGTCAAAGTCTTGGGATAAAAGACAGTTACCTTGCAAGCAAGAGGAATTCTCCTCTTGAAAATATATCTTGCCAGCAGCCATCACATACGTTTGCTTTCATGCAGAAATGTTTCGGACCAATAAAATGCAGTGATGTTTGACGTCAACGTGTCACGGTCAGAAGGCTGAAGCAAAACAAAAAACCTGTGCTGGTCTTAGCTGGATATCCTAAAAAAAATTAGTAGGACACAATTTTTGGTGTTTGTAAATGGGAAGGTGTTTGTGCATTCCCAGTGACCGGATTTGGTAAGAGTTTTATTTATTAGTTAACTCTCTAGTCGTGAAACAAATCAAGCTGCTACTGCTGCTATGATTAGGTAAAAACTCGACATAGGAGGCAGGTACCCAATCAGCTCAAGGAATTGTACTGGATGTCTTTTCCAAACACTTTCTAAAGAAGGCTTCACAGATCAATTCATGTATTTCAATTTGAATTAAACAGTGGTCT